GACAACGTTTTTCCAGCATATCATAATCAGTTATGTTTTCTCCGCATAATTTCAATACCGAACAAATGCGGAACATGGTCGAATTGTACTCGTTAACAGTTTTGAAATCTTTGAAGCGTAAATGCATCTATTCGTAACGAGCCCGGGGGAGAATCACCGTTTTCTGGTGATCATACCTTTCTTTCAAGGCTTTCCATATATCCGCAGGATCTTTAACAGTTAAATATTCATTTTTCAAAGCCTCATTCAAATGATGCCTCAGAAATATCATTGCTTTAGCCTTTTCCTGTATTGATGAATCATTTGGGGATATTATTGTTTTTTCCAATCACCTTGCCGCCAAATGAATTTCGGCATCCAATGTCCATGAGATATAATTTTTCCCAGAGATATCGAGAGCTTCGAATTCGAGTTTGACCAGATTTGCCATGATAACTATAAAATAAAACATCAATGCTGAGATTCGAAAAAAAAAATTACATATACAATCATTAATTCTTCAAGACGTACACAAGAGCAAATACTAAACGCATTATACAAAGGCCTAATACATAAAATTTAAATCCAACAGTACAATACATCATTTTGAAAATTAGGAAAACATATATAATAAACAAGATAATGGTAATTATAAGTAATGGATCAAACATTTTTTTTCTTATAAAGAAAATATATTTTTGAGTGTTTCGATTATGAAAATGAATTGTAGTGTTATATATAGATATTGGTAAATAGCCGTTGCAATATAGCCGTTAAGTAGCCGTTGGAACCAAATTTAATGATATAATATTTGCTAATTAATCATTATTGATCATAAAATTCTAATTAATCATGTATATTACCTTAAAAAGTTTTCGAATTATTTGATGAATATTTTCGCGAATATAACAAAACAAGTAAAAAAAATGCTCCACATTATTTGATAAATTTTATGGTAAGTACAAGAATAAACAGTTATAAATTTCACGCCACATTACTGGGTAAACCATTTTTATGGGTGTTAAGTATAAATAATAACATTTATTACAACTTGAAAAATAATTCATAAGCAAATTTAATAATATCATATCACCACATATTATTGGCTATGGGATAGCCTAATTTGCCAATAATAATGGTAATGTGTATATAATATCATATTTAGTATACATATCTTAACTGTGGCAGAGCCTAACTTGTCAAGAATAATAGTAATATATATATATATATTTTTGACTGTGACGGAGCCTAACTTGTCAAAAATAATAGCAATATGTATATATATCCTTGACTGTGGCAGAGCCTAACTTGTCAAGAATAATGGTAATATGTATATATATCCTACCTTTCTTGACCGGTAGAGCGTTCGTGCTGATAACGTGTTATAAAATGCGAGGAATAAAAAGAACACAATGTAAAAACCGGATAAAAATTATAAGAAACTTTCTTTCTTTCTCTCTTCTTCACTTTTCGTACACCAATATTACAATACTTTGGTCCTTTATATAGACCAAATTGGCACACAATACTATACATGATAATAATATAATAAT